AGAAGAAGAAGAAGAAGAAGAAGAAGATGATGATGATCATGATGAGAGGGGGACGGGCAGCTCCACGGCGACGGGCGACGGGCGGCTCCACGGCGATGGGCGACGGGCGGCTCCACGGCGCTGGCGACTCCAAGACGCTGGCGACGGGCGACGGGCGACGGGCGGGTCCACGGCGACGGGGGAGTGAAGCTCCCAGGCGATGGCTACAGGCGGCTCCACGACGACGGGCAGCTGAACCACGAACTGCGCCGGCAGGGGAAGAGCAAGGCCCCGTTTGGACAGCCGATGCAGGCCGCGGCAGCCAGTCGGCTGTTCAAACGGGTCGATGTTTTCCCTCCAAACATCAAACGGCCCTCTGGCCGTCACAATTTCAAAAAAAAAAAGCTGGCCTCACGGGCCCGACTCGCCTTTTTTCAGGCCTGGTCGGACCCGGTAGGCCCTGGGGACCCCAGCTGACGGCGCTTCGGGGTCTGACCCCCGCCCCCGACAAGGTGTGCTGGGGGTGCCCCGGCCCCCAACCGGGCCGCCCGCCCGGCCAGGCCGTCCGGGACCTCCCCCGGGCAGGCGCTGGTCGACCGGGCGGCCCGGATCCGTACTCAGGTTTTGAATCTTTGATTCTTTGACAGGTTTTCCATGGGAATCAGTGTTGCACACCCCGACCGTCAGCGAACCTTGACTGGTCGGCACCTACCGGTCGGGGGTCGTCGGTCGACCCCCCCCCAAAAAAAAGAAAAAAAAAAAAAGAAGAATTTTTGTATTTTTGTTTTTTTTTGGGTCCAGAACCCCTAATAACCCCACGAACACCCCCATACCCACCCTAAATACCCCCATACACCCCCCAAACACCCACAAACCGCCCCCCAACACCCTCATACCCCCCCCCAATATGTTCCGTGGGAGAGGAAAGAGAAGGAGAAGGAGAGAATGTTTTTCCTATAGAGTTGGAGTGGCAGTTGAGGAGTAATGGTCTGCCATTACCAGAAAGAGAAAGAGGAGAACAGGGAGGTGCCGAGGGATGGGGAGAGAATCGGTGCTTATGTTCTGGCATCTTGTTCAAAGTGTCTTGCTTCCGTCCATTGTTTTTGTCTGGTTTCCTGTTGGTTGGTTGCAGGACACCTGAACATCTTGCCCTTGGAGCCATTGCCGGTGCAATTGCAGCAACATGCACAATGCCGGTAAGTGCTAAGTACCCTTCACTGTTGGAAAATGAGCCGATCAAGAATGAAAGCTGTCACTGCAGAATGCTGACGAGCAGATGTTTCCAGATACCTCCAGTCTGTTGTCATGGCATTGATCAATCGATGCTCCCTGTCCTCTGTCTTTGTCTCGATTTCCCTTTTCCTTCGTGCTTGAGATGTGTGCTCCCATGCAAGAATATGGCGGTGCGAACCCTTAAGGCAGGAAGGGGAAAGAGAGTTGTGTTCCTGGACCTTGCTGTGCGAACTCATAAGTCAGATCGTTGTGCCTCTTGAGTTGGAAGTTTTGTTTGAACGATAGGCGTACATGAGGGTTAGGTGTAGTAGGGAGGCTCACTAGGGAAGCACCTAGAGAACTCTTAATCGGTGGCAGGCGGCTGATTGGCAGGGGTATGCTTGTGAGGGAAGTTGCCTTCGGGGTGCCCTGAAAACCCCCTCTCATGTGGGCACTTGAGAGTCTTTCCTTAAGACAAGGGGATCTTCTTCCTTCTCTACTCCTCCTCGACCTTCTCCTCCTTCCCCCCCTTCCTCCCGCTTCTCCACCTCCTCCCCCCTTCCGCCCCTCTTCCTGCTCCTCTCCCTCCTCCCCCTCCTCCTCTCGTCGCCTCCTCTTTCTCCCCTCCCTTCCTCTTCTGCCTACCCACCCTTCCTCCTCCTGGCTGTTTGCTCATGCGGCGTATTTGCCACTGCTGTTTGATCTGAGGGTACTTTATGTAGCCCTTGGCTTGACCGGCAGCGGTTCACATTGGGTGTGTTGGTGGAGAGGAAGAGAGAGAATGTGTGCATCAACTCGTAGCGCCCATTCTGCAGGGACCTGAGGGATTTTCTCCAGCGTGCCACTGCCTAAGGGGAGCTTTGTATGCTGCAGTGTGGTCAACATTTTGATGGCCATGGCATTGTTCTCCGTTCATGTGCTTGCTTGCAGGGTTGTGCTAGTGGGTTGAGGTGAGTTCCCACTTGTGCAATTTTATGAGTCCGTGCTGGTGACAGTCATCATTTTGAGCCTATTCTCAAGCAATCAGCAATTTACTTCCCTTTTCATCTGATTCACTTTTTGCATTCAAAATACCACTGCCTCCTAATCATTTGCCAGTGAAGGGGCCCATTGGTGGGGACCATGGGCACCAGCAGATTTTTTGGTGGCTCACTGGTTAGAATATCATGCAGGGGGGGCACCACAAACTTGATGACACCGGTCGGGACTTTCCTGTCCCTCCTCTGCCCCCTGGAATAGCAGTGCATAGGTTGGGAACAGTGGGACTTGAAGCCTAAAAGCATGGATGAGCGTCAAGCACACATGATAGAGTCATCATCATAAACATTTTTGTATCGTTTCTGTTTCTCCTCTCTTCCTTGTAAAAATCATTACAACAAGTGCTCCGTCTGGCAAGAGAGATCTAACTGTTCTAACATATTTGTTGTCCTCTTCTCCCTCTCTGCCTATGGTTTACCGGGCAGCTCGGTTTGACGATATAGAATATTATAGATATATGTTACAATTTTTCAACCTACAAAGATGAATAGTTTTTAAACTTTTGTTCCTCTTGGAATTACTATTTTAGTATTTTTTATTTTTTTTTGTTCCTGAGCATACCTATTTTGAAGGCAATTTCTCAAGAGATTACATGCTGGGGACAATTACCATGCAATCAGCACGAAAAAGGTCAGCAGAAGACGACTTCGTTGTGTACGTGTCGTCCATGGCCTCACCAAAATGCAGCACTCTTGCCAGGAGAGTCCAAGCCTCTTTCACACATTTGATGACCTTACAAATGCAACACCCTTGACAGGAGAGTCATCATCTCTTTCCCCCACCCCCCAACCAACCCCATTTCCCCACCGGTAAGAGTTTTAGACTTTTAGTGTCAAGTCCCAACCTTTTTGCCTTGCTGTGCGGTCCCAACTTTTTTGTCTTTCTGTGCGGTCCTATCGATACTGAACGTGGAGTTTTTCGCTGTAACACAAAATTGTTTTTTTACTCTTCCTGAACCTGAAGCTTGATTTGGTGAAGACGAGGCAGCAGTGCGGAATGCGGATCAATGTACATAGCATTCTTCTAGGTGTTCTTGCAGAGAAAGGATTCCCTGGTCTCTTTGCTGGACTGGTAAGTAAGCACTACTCTCTACGCATTTCATCCTAACCCACACCCAGGGTGGTGGCCTCTGTCCTGGACCTGCAAAGGCTCCTTTTCATATGTGATCTTTTCCCAAATAACAGACCAAAGCCACCTTGACGTCTGCTCGTTTTCCCGAACAACAAAGAGGTTCAATCAAAAACGTGTATCACACTCGTTATTATGTCGTCATTTAAGAATCTGTGACGTATTGTCTCATTTGAACATTATTAGAAATTTGCTCCAGGGAACTTTTCTTTTTATTTATAAAACGGGCGACGGCCTTAATATATCATCATCAAACTGACCGGCCCTAGGTAATTCAGAATTATAGTATTTTATTCATCTGCATCTGGCGGAGTTCGAACTCGGGTCTGTATTGTACCAACTGAGCTAGGCCAGTTGGTAAGCTCCAGGGAACTTCTGCAAGGAGCAATCAATGTTGTTTCAGGGTGTCCTCCCGCGAAGCTCCGGCCTTTTATCCGAAGTAGGTGTGGTGAGCTCCATATGTATTATACCCGACTTATCAGCAGAGTTACCGGTGAAAAATGAACTGGGCAGCTGCTCCTCATGAGTAGAAAGGAACCAGGGCCATTAAGGAGTGATTTGATAAGAATAGAAAGAAAAAGCTCCTGGGCTTTCCTTTGCTGACAGAGATGTGAGCATGGTCAATCTGATCAATCAGGTGGTTGCAGCTTTTAGGTGAAGTTCCCGTGAACCTAAGCGCCGAAGAGCTAACTAAGGCAAAACGTGGCAGTTCACCTGGAGCATTTATGGCTTCCTTCCCGATTGATTATCCACCAGCTTCTTGCACGGTTGCACAGCTTCTCCAGACTTCCCTATTATAATAATCAACTCCTAAATCGTGCAGTGGGTTGCGGAAGATGCTTTCCACTGGGGCCAGCGTGTCCCGGCAGTGCGCGATTTTCCCTGGCTGGCGCTTTCGTTTCTCTTTTGGGTTTTGTTTTCTTTCATTCCAGAAATGGGTGGCTTGAACCACACACACTTTTGTGGGTCGTGAAACGAATATTGGTCGGGCGGGTTTGTAGCTGTCTCTTATACACATCTAGATGTGTATAAGAGACGTGGCTTGAACCACACACACTTTTGTGGGTCGTGAAACGAATATTGGTCGGGCGGGTTTGTAGTTTCCTCACATGGCGCTTCGTTGTTTTCTTGGGGGGGGCTTCGATTCCTGGCTGGCATTTTGGTTGTTTTTTTTTTTTTTTTTTGGAGGGGGGGAAGAGTTTTYTTCTGTTCCCGAGGTAGAGGGCTTGAACCACACGTGGGGACTCGTTGTGTTCTGGGAACTGGCGTTTTTACTTTTTTTTTGGGGGGGGGGGGGGGGGGTGGTGTTTTCTTATGTTCCAGAGGTAGGGGTCTTGAACCACACGCTTCCGCAGGTTGTGAAACTAATATCGTTGGGGCGGGTTTGTCATTTTCTGGGAACGAGCTTTGATTCGAACACGATTTGTCTTATGTTCCAGAGTACCACAAAATAGCAAGCCCAGTTGAGCGCCAGGGAGCAGGTCACAAGCTGGAATGAATAGGTAGGCAGTCTGAGCACGTGGTCGGCGGCGATTTCTCAATTTCCGGGGCTGGGTTCTGGTCCGCCGTTGTTTGGATACCAATACATAGCAGGCCCGTATGGACAAGAAAGAAGACACTTGACTGTTGAGTACAAGGTCACGAGCTCGAATCTGTAGGAGTCCTGAGTTGTTTTCTTACTTCTCTCTGCAGGATTCCAGCTAAGGTTGTCTATCAACAGTTGGTCTATGTAGCATTCATTCCACATGCGCTTGGGTTCTCGTTTTTTTTGTGTGCTTTTCACTTTGGGGGTGTTTGTACTGTACAGCCCACGTAGCATCCCCCACCTAACCCACACGTCCAGCCAGCCAGCATCCAGTCCACATACTATGACGCGCCCCACGTCACATAATATCACGCGGCCGACATATAGTACGACCCATCCAACGTACTTGGTATCACCTGGGCCACATATTACCACCCTGTCCACACGGTACGACCCACCCATGCGGTATGACCCGACCGGCATGGTATCATCCAGGCCACATGATACCGCGCAGCCCAATACCACCTGCCAGTGGCAAGGGCCGGATTGTGCCTCATCTTGGCCATGTTTTTTTTTTATTTTATGTAGGACCGTATCTGCGTTCTTTTTCTTTTCTTTTGGTCTGAGTGTTGCATGCTGAGCCTGCACACGGGCCCCATTTTGCCGGCCCGACGGTTGCTGGAGGCCCCCAGGCTGCACGCCCCTCAGACGCGCGCCCCTGGATGCCCATGGCCGGCCTTAGGGCCGCAGTTTTCGAGTTGAGGCAGCATTTATTTATTTATTTGCTGTCCTATTTTTGTCTGTTCAGGCGTCGTTTCGGACTTGCAGTTCGTCCGGACAGACTTTCGGTCTGGTCGGACAAGGCCACGTTTTTGGCCTGGTGCGGATGTAGGCAGGTCCTGTCAGGCCAGGTCCATCTTTGTCCGATAGCGGACACTCCCGGCTGCGTCAGCAGGGAGGGCCTGGACGTCCGGTAGGGACCCAGGCATGTCACGTTTTGGCCTAGGACCAGAGGCACACGGAGGCACACCCGTGAGGGCCAGCGCTACTTGTAGCTGGGCCACGCTTGGGCAGACACAGTTCGAGTAGCTCACTTCTTGGGCGACACGCTGCTGGAGCAGCGCGCCAGCGCTACACTAGAGGTAGAGGTGTAGGTAGGGAAGGAGGTGGAGACCATGCCTGCACCGACGGAGCTCCTACCTGGGCACCATAGCTGGCCCTCTCGCCGGCGACCTGCACACAGAGAGAGAGCGACGGGCTGCAGTTAGTGCAGGGAGGCAATTACCTGCAGGTGAGACAGCGAGGAGGACGGCATCTTCTTCTTCTTCGTCGTCTCGCCCCCCATGTCTTCTTCCTCCCTTCTTCTTCTTCTTCCTTCAGAGAGAGAGAGAGAGAGAGAGAGAGAGAGAGAGAGAGAGAGAGAGAGAGAGAGAGAGAGAGAGAGATTACATGCAGAGGTTACATCGGGCCATGAGGCCCAGGATCTGATTCAACATTTTGTGGCAGACATTGATTGGACATTCTCCAGGGAGACTATTTTTGGACTTCGCTATCGCGATCTTGGTCTTCTCCCTCATCTCCATCTTCGGCTGCAGATTTCGCTCGTACACGAGTATCGGGCCAAAATCTGCAGTGCCCAGGCCCGGTAGAGGCTTGGTCGAGGGGGGAACTGTACATTTTTTTCAAATGCCGGCGCTGTAGACTCTAGGCTTGGAAAAATGCAATTTTTGGGTCGTCAATTTAGCTTTGGATGCACTGGTGCTTTAACCCTCGAGTACCTTTCCCAGGTATGATGTTCCGACACTGTTAAACCACCACCACCTCCAAGCCTTTTTTCCCGTGGGGATTTCTGTTGTGTGCCGAGGTGCTGTTTCTTTCCCTTTTTGGCTAGCATCGCCAGCCAACAAAAAGATCCGCGAGGCTGAGGCCCCAAAGAATGCGCTGGTGGTCAACTTCATCACAAAAGTTTGACTGGGAGATGTAGTGGTGGCTTAACACGCTTCGCATAACGGAACAACAAAGCTGGCATTGCCTGGCAAAACCCAAAAAAAAAAAAAAAAAAGTGCCAGCGCCCGTTGGTCTTTTATTCATACGCAGCAGAAATCCGCATCATGAAAAAGAGGCTTGGAGTCACTGTTGGTTCGAAGGAAGAATGTAGTCTCTCATGATGTTAGATTGTTGTGGGAGAGATTGAGTTCAAATCCTGAAATGTACACACAGGTAGCTGATCACAAACAGGAACACAGGTCATGAGTTCAAATCCTAGATGCTAAAAACCAGGACTCGGCTATGGCATCGACGAGATTTGGCATTGTACAGTTCATGAGATCAAGTCCTGAATGGTCAAAGAGGAATCTCCTCTGAAGGGATTTAAAATGGGAACGAGTTCGGTTTGATACTTTTCCTCTGTGGAGCTTGAAATGTAGCTTTTCATAAACAGGTCATGACTCATGAGTTCAAATTCTGAATAGCATATTAAGAACCCCTCCCCAAGTTACTTTACCCTTTTCCCCGCTTGTTTGCCATCGTGCGTAGCTGTGACTGCCTTCTGCTTGTGTGTGTAAGTAACCCATGGGGAACCCTCAAGACTGGTTTCCATTTTGTTTCTATTTAGATTATCCTTGCCCACTGCCCCCTAAACCCTAACCGGCGACTCAAATCGCAATGAACCCAGATCGTGAAGACACTTGTCAACAATGCAAGCCCAGATGAATATCAACCTGCTGATGATTATCAATAATCATAATCGTGTCCAGATAGAATGAGATGGGAGAATCATACGCAGACGAAGGAGAGAGGAGGGAGATTAGACTTAGAAGAAGAATAAAAGACAAATGCCCACTTCTGCTTCGGGCTCCCTCCTCGATCACCACCTCGAATAATCAATACTCTGAACGCACATCTGAAGTTCTATTACAATGTGCCACGTGGCACGTCGATCAGTCCCTCATCAGCGTACTGGATCAATGTCGACCTCAAGATAACCAGGTACGTGTCCACGATCGCCCCACAGTCATGATCTCCTCCCGAGTGATGATGAATCAGAACAGCAGTGCCAGTCACGTAGCCCAGCCACGTCAACAACAGTACACGTGGCAGCGGCCATGTCAGCAGCGACGCGTGGCAGGTGCCACGTCAGCATGCCCTGAAGACAATAGCCAGTCAGCCACCATGCCAAGCCAGCAGCGCGTCGCCATTGTCACCCAAGTGCCAGCGCAAAGCCAGCGTCCAGCCAGCATCGCAGCATTGAGCCAGCGTCGTTGTCAACGCGTGAAGTCAGCATTGACGCAAGACCGAATGAATGTCAAAGTCATGAAGTCAGCGCTTATGTAGCGTGGACGCGGGGTCTGGACCCCGGATGCTGCATCCCTCAGCCGTCAAGATCTCAATGAAAATGACGGCCCAGATTGGCCTGAAACCCAATTCCTTCTGGCCTTGATGCTGTCTGGGTACCTGCACACAACAAGTGAGTGTATCCGACCAAGGGCCTGGGCGCAGTACCTTTGACCTGACAGTTGACTTAGACTTTTGACTTCCCACGGGCAGTGTGTGGTCACACTGCCTGGCGCAGGCCAAGTTTGGCCTGCATCGTCTGGGCTCCGTTTCGAGGGCCCAGACTGCTGCAGAACACGGGTTACTGCAAAATGCCCTAATACAGTGTTTGCCAAAGTCCCAAGCACTCGTCAGCTGCCAAACGTCTGGAGTAACAGATCAAATCCCCCTCCCCCCCCCCCCCTCCCCCTCGCCCCGCCAGCCCCCGAGACCAGGTGCTCAATTGAGTCAATTCACATTTTGAAGTTCGTATTAATTTTATCGTATCGCTGTAGAATGTGCATTGAGAGAGAATTCTTGAGGCTTGATTATTACCTTCATTTCCAGACTCTTTAATGGGCTTCCAAACGAAAAGAAAACCAACCTTTCCCAGTGTGCTCCATCAACCATAACCTGCAAAAGACGTATATATCAAGGTGCGCGGAGCGCGCGATTACAATACCGCCGCTCGATACCGCGCACACCAGCAGATAGCGGTGGATCAGAGGATATCGCTCTGATACCAAATTCCAATGAGCCCAATCTGAAGAGAAGCTCATCAATGTTGGAACACAGAATTTCACAGCGCAGTTTCAATGCAGCCCAACGTCTGGTCACCAGAGAAGAGGATGGTGGAAGGGAGACAAGACTTAGAAGGTGGAAGAGAAAGTACCCATCAACATAGCTGATAGATCTCCCTCACAATCCCACTTTGTCGGGCATCTCCCTCTTGCCACATGAGCAGACAGTCCCCTCTGACACACTCTGACAATGAGCTTATCTCATCATGGCGCTTGCTAGCGCAGACACCTTATGAAAACGGACAGCAGTGCGCAAGGTTGACCACGAACTCAAACAGGTAAGCTTCCTCCACATTGATCAATCTCACATCTCTAATCCTTTATTCTCCACGCCAGTATCCCGTCAATGTTATAATCAGTGTGGCGAGAGCCACGTCAGCATAATCAAGTGTCCAGCTGGCGCCGAAGACAGAGAATGGCACCAGCACACAGCATTGCCAGTCCTGCATCGTTGTATCAAGCTAGCGTCCAGCCAGCGTAGTGCCAGCGTCAAGCTACAGTCTTCCCCTGAATACAACGCACGGTCATTATAGCTGAATTTAGACTGATATATCTATCAAATTCAGCAATAATGGCCGTACGTTGTATTCGGGGGAAGACTGTAGTGGCCCCCAGCGTCCAGCCAGCATAGTGCCAGCGTCAAGCTAGTGTCCAGCCAGCGTCCAGCCAGCGACAAGCAGCATGTGCAAGACTGAATGTCGGTCAGCAGGGGCTGGGTCAACTTATAGTGTTGACTCCAGTTGACCAGCCTCTGGTCTCTCAGATACGATGGCCCAGATTGTCTCACAGCCAATGGCCTGGATCCCGTACAGTTGCAGATTCCCACTTGCACTTGATTCCTTACAGATACCTGCAAACAGCCAAAGGTGTGTGTCTGATCGGCGGCCTGGACTGGGTCCATGTTGACTTTGACTCGTGGGCCTTAATTTCCGAGCTGCTGTTGACCTTTGACTTTCCACGGTCAACTGTTGCACGTTGGGCCTCTGAAGGCGAGTTTTAGGCCTTGCTTCTGGTACCCCACAGCAGCAGGCCTTCGTTCAGGCAGTTTACATGACTTGGGCGTGGCCTTTGACCCCTATTTCCGCCCTTTGACCAAAATGATGACCCACAGCCCATGACTGATGCATGATTTGAGCTGAGTTATTGCACTACAGCCAAGGAGCTTAGCTGCTAGCAATGTAGTATCCTCCATGAGAGTAAACTTAGTAAAGTAATGAATGCAAGTGTTCATTGCAGTTCAAATTTGTTCGATAAAGAAGCGCCTTCTTCTTCAACATTGAAGGATGGGGAGATGATGATGAGGACAGCAAGGTACAGCCTCAGATCATTTGCCTCCGATAGCTGTCTGAACGGCATTGACGCTGGTGCTCTTTTTGGTGGCTTCGGTTTTTCATATGTTGTGCAGCCATTCCGTGTGATTCACGTATCACTGATGTCATCTGTGTTCTTCGGCCTTTTCGAGTACTGCAAAATGGTAGGTTGCTTTTTCAAAGGGTAACAAATTACTAACCATGGTGTCAGACAGTCTTCAACCCGCATTTCCAGGCTTTTTTTTGACTGTGTGAGTCAACTGTCTTTGTTCACTGTCTTCGTCGCCTGGGTGAATGGACTGTGCAAGTGACTGTGTATTTTTTTGACTGTGTGAGTTTTACTGTGTGCATTGACTGGGTTCGTCCTGTTTTTTTTTTGTTTTTTTTGCTATCATCTTCTCCCAGCATTGTACCTCGCACTGCCTACCCCAGACAAGCGAGAGATCAGCTATATTTTTACCTCGCATTACCTACGCTGGACAAACAAGAGCCCATTCACACACCAAGGGGAACTATGGTCTAAGACTAGAGTCTAAGGCTAGGGTTGAAGGCTACGGTCTAAGGCTACCTTAAATTTACTAACCAGGACTAAGTTATCCTAAGGTTATGGGTCTACGCCTAGCTATCCCTGCTCTGTGCGGGGAGCAGCACCCAAGCGCCTAACGCCTGGTGCAGACTGGAAAGAACCCAAGACTCACTTCCTCAACCAGCCAGTCGGTGAACCCAAAGTATGCCACACAGGGGGTCGTGGGGAATTGAAAGGATGCCATTGGGAATCGAACCCACGACCTCCTGCGTACCACTTACGTGCTTAACCAACTGAGCTACGCCGCTTGGCCCGACGACTGCGTTCGTCCTGTTTTGTCAGGAGATCTGATAGTGGTATTGTGAGCTCACTTTGTTCACTGTCTCTGCGGCCTGTGTGAATGGACTGTGTCTTTTGACTGTGTGAGTTTTACTCTGTGCATTTACTGGGCTCTTCCTGTTTTGTCAGGAGGTCTGATAGTGGGGTATTTACCAGGGTTACTTCTGGTGGGCTGGTGGTAAGTTTTTCAGGCACGAGTTATCGTTAGAGAGATGCAGAAGTTTTTGTGTGGGTTTCATAATTTTAGTTGGAGCTGGAGGGACTTCATGAGAGAAAGAGGCTTCTAGCTCCTCCGCTCGCCAAACAAAATGGTGGGTCTATTGTCATATTTGGCGAGCGGAGCAGCAAGGCCCAAAGAGTAAACATGTCTTCGTTTTTTCTTTTCTTAAGCCAGGACTACCTTTCCTGCTGTTGGTAAACCGGGAAAATAGCCTACTCCTAAAAAATCTGGGGCTGGGCCCGACGACGGCCACTGTTGATAAATCTCATCGGCGACCATCGTTTCGTTTCGGCCTCCTAAACGATCGCAGGCCCACCCGAGGCCGACATGGGAAAAGATAGTGATGCTTTAATGTGGAGAAACTTCCGAGAAAGGTACGGTAGCCCTTCACATTATTGTAGTTGTCTGAGATTCAGTCAGGATTTGAAATTTGAATTCATGAACTGTTTACTAACAGTTACATGTGTGTACCACTCAGCTACATGGCCAGGGTGCAGAAAAAAAATGTTATTTTCATGCCTTTTGCCTTTTTTGGTCTCTCTCTTTCCACATCACCCCTGTCTGCAAAATCGAAAGAATGTTGGCTACCTAACCCATATCCTTCCCTTCGCACATATCGATGATTCCACCTGATATGGATGGTAGATATATGACATTGACTGCATTGTAGATCAGGCTGAACTTAGAGCCAATCGACGGGGGAGGCCGAGTCAACAGCTTAGAGTCCGATGGCAATACCAAGACCTGGAGGAGGATAGGTAGTTCCTTAAAGAGCAACTGCATGAGACCGCACCTGGCACAGTGTCGCATTATGAGCAAGCAGTTTGACAGGTAGGTATTCCTGATGCTCTCATCGATGTTTCAACCTGATGAACCATTTCTTAAACCGCTAGTACACAACCCCAGCCTTGTGGAGATTTGCTCGTTGTGTACTCCGAGAATTTCCCGTCTCAGGCCTACCGTACCACAATGGCTGGCAGGGAATGCCAAAAAAAGGAAAAAGTGCGCTGTTGGTGGTTTGGAAAAGCTTGGCGTGCAGCGCAGCTTCTCCAGGCCCGCGATTACTGATGGTTTAAGCAAAGTCTTGATAAGCATATCAGTTTCTATGGACGTTACATCTCACAGCAAAAACTCCCGAAGTTCGCCCCATGATAAAGAAAAACTCCTCCCTCCCTCCCTCCCTCTCTTTCTCATTATGCTCCCCCTTTAATCAGCAGCGAAGTCGTCTCCCTCCAGAACTTGGTATCCACCTTTCTAGCCATTCTTCTCAGGCCAGCATCAAACAGCTCCCACGGGTAACCAATTATTCTCATTTCTTTTGAAAAGATTACCGAGCTCCAGCACGTCGATAGCTTAGTATTTGTGTTGTCCACAATTCTGCATATGGCATTTGATATTGAGGTGAACCCTAGCAGCCCGGTTGGTAGCCCAGTTCAGGAGTTCGTATATGCCTGCTGAGTCCAAACTTAATTTATTCACGGCAGGTTTTATTTTTCTTCCAAGACAAAAGTTAGGGCGATTATGTTTGTAACTTTGTATGTCTGTTTTGGTGCATCCTTTCGCGATCGGTGGCTTGTGTGCAGATTACTGGAGGCAATCCAATTGGTGCCGTAAGAGGCCTGTGCACGGAATCATCAAAGGTGAGAAACTGTGCTGCCGGGTGTGAAACACTTTCTGACTTTGATGAGTATCTTTCCTGCAAAATGAGTGGTAGACTGGTGGAGTGAAATAGGTCCACAGGCAGGCCCTGCTGATCCTCCCTGTTGCGCTAAGTCAGAATGAACCTGGCGAAATTGGGCGCTGCTGGCAAGACTGGCGCCATAAGAGGCGATAAGTTAACCCTTAAATTTACAACCAGGTCAATCAATAAGGCTAACTCATCGTGAACGTGGCATCACTGTGGCATCCCCCTTATGTCTCTCTGAAATGCGGTGCTCTTGAAACCTCCGGCAGTTGTATATTTAACCTGGAGGACCTCCTTCCCATCTGAGCAGTCGCTGAAATGGAACAGCCATGCCTTTGGAATTCCTTTTCATTGTTTGTGATTCCACACCCCCTTCAGATCCTTACAAGACGTCCTGAAAATGAATAGCCATGCCATTCGAATTCATTCCTTTTCATTGCTTGTGAATCGTTGTGATTCCAAATCTGAGCAAGTCTAACTACAAGGCGGGGGGCATGTGTCTTCAGACCTCACACAAGTATCCTGAACATGCTCCACGTTTTGCAAGCAGCGGGCTTGCTTTGAAGTTCAAATGACTGGTAGCCCGGAATGTATTTTGTGGACCTACAAACTTTTTCGCTGCTAGGCTGTCTTACCTGGGAGGCTTACAACAGCTACATCAGTTATAGTTGAAAATTAGCCAACTGCAGTCAATACGGCGACCGCTCTCGATTACGCGATACATGCACATTTGTTTGCCTCTAACAGGCTTACAACAGTTTACACCAGGCAATCAACTAGGCACAGTGGCACACACATCTACATCGTCACATGATTTATTCAGTTGGACAATGAATATTTATTATTTATTTCATTTATTTTGCAAGGCATGACGCCGTCAACCTAGGTTGGAAACGGCCTGCTCTCGCTGGAAACTTTCTGCACCCGCCCTAAGTGAAGGCGGTCACCCTGGAAAATCGACGAGGCGTATTCTGAGGCCGACGTGAGCAGAAAGGGGCCTCGTGGGTTGATTGCTGCACGCAGCATCTCCAACCGACCAGGAGGCCCGATCTGTTGAAGATGCTGGGGCCAGCAAAGATGCTGAGGCCCAGGACACTTACAGTTGAGCCTCAGGCATATTCTGCACGGGCAGTGGGCACAGCTACTGGGACGGAGGCTGAGCATCCAGAGCCTGCCTTGCCCAGCCAGCCAGGCACATAAGGAAGTGAAGCCACTCACTTCACAATATTCTGGCTGGCTGGACGGCGGCAGCGCTGCTGGAGCGCTGGCTTGCTGGACGAAGGTCGGGCAGAGTGAGGAAGGGCGCTGGCGGGGCACAAGGAAGAAGCTGCGCGGGTCCAGCCTGAGCGCAGCAGCCATAGCCGGGCTGCTGATGCCATAGCCTGGGAGGTTGAGCGGATGTCCTTGGGAAAGGGACAGTGTGTGGGTAGTCGAGGGAAGGGTGATGCTGTGGGCGCTTGCCTGGTGGTGATGAGCGGGCTGCTACAGTGGGAGTCTTCATTCAGCATCAGGCTGCTGTACTTCATGAACTGACATGAAGACCTTTTGCTGTCATTTAGATTCTCGGTTGATAGGTCCTGCCTGATTGTAGTCTGGGCGCTGAGCGCCATATAGGAGAGCAACATTGTGGACATTGATGTTGTTCTAGGCGAGAAGCAGGCTTTAATTATCAGTTGACTTCAGTGCTTTGCTCTTATTTGGTGTTTCTCGTGGTGCAATCTGCTTTCAGTTCGAGTACATGGTTAATATTGGTTGTCCTTCAAAAAAAAAAAGAAAAAAAAAACGTCCTGTTCTGGCTCCTTTCCATTCTCGGGAGCATCAGTCAGGGAGTACATGGTTGTCTTTTTTCTTCTTCTTTTTTTTTCTTTTCTTTTTCTTTTTTTTTTAATTTGGACCATTTCTCGATTCATGTGTGTCATCCTTGCGCAGGGGCCATGCTAATCTTCTCTCTATCGTTCCAATTTTAACGGATGTCCCGAAGGACAGACTACATGGTTGTCTTGATTTCTAGGAATGATGCAATTTGGTTTCTGTCATTCCCATTGCTCATTTTCCTTGCAATTTATTCATTTTTATTAATTTTTAATCTTTTATCCTTTATTTATTTATTTATTTATTTATTTATTTATTTATTTATTTATTTATTTATTTATCTGGGTTCTTTTGTTGATTTGTATGCCTCAAAGGATAATCGTTTTACGGTCTAGGGGAATAGCCTCTAGCGTCATGGAAGTGTTGACAAGGATATGACCAATCAGCAGTTTCAGACGTGGAACTGGTGCCACACGGCAGGTACACTTTTGCACATCTCCTTGCTTTGCTTAATCCTCCGGAAGATTGTTTGGTGATGCTATAACGCGAACATTTGTCGTCAAGCAGACAGAATGCCAGTCTTGGTTATCGAGAGAAGAAAAGGCAGCTGTGTAGAAAAATGCCTAGCTCGAAAGAATCGCCGTATAAAAAAGTTGCCGGAAAAAAAAAAAAAAAAAAAAAAAAAAAAAAAAAAAAAAAAAAGTTGTCAAAGAGGGTAATGAGGACGATGGACACAACAAAACAATGCTTTAAACCACCAGTCCCGTTCCCAGCTATTTTGTTCTGACACAGTGGTTAACCTGCCTCGTTGAGACGGGCTCGACCTACCGGACCAAAATGGCTTGCGAGGCCAGGCAAGAAGAAAACAATTTTGTGCCTGCGTCGCTCTGTTATTTTGGGTCTGTAGCAGCAATCCGGGTCAGGAAAAGAGGCTCGGAGGACTGGTGGTTTAGCAAAAGGGGAAAAAAAAGGGACAAGCAGCAGCCACAACAACAGCAACAACTGTGATCCTGGCCAATTTCTCAAGTGCAAAATCACAAGAAAATGCAATACTGTCCAAGTGCAAAAGAAATGAATGGCGTCCACCATAGCCAGGTAAGTACCTCGCCGCTCTTCTCCTTCGTCCCCTTCTTCCTCCTCCTCAGGCTGGACTGCTCGCCATAGCCAGCCAGAGCGTCCAGCTTCTTTTTCCTCCTCCCAGCGAGGTACTGCCCAACACTCCTCTCTCCAGCGGCGTTCTGAGAACCAGCACCCGCTCAAGCAGCATGATGCCCAAACTTGCATACCGCAAATGAGGAGCAAGTCGTTGCTCCTGGAGATATAGCGGCCTACCTGCCTCTTGGGCGGTGACTTCCAGGCCGCGCGGCCTCCAAGCAACTGGTACCTCCTCCCTTTCGGAGGGAAACATCATTGCAGGCTCTGATATCGTCCACACAGGCCCTAGACAGGCTACTTGGACTGGTACCCGCCTACCTCTAGGCCTACCTCTTCTGCTCGGCCTACCGCTGCTCTCAAGTACGTATGGTGCCGACACTACGCTAGTTGAGTGTGCCCTGAGCTACCCCTTCGGCCACTATTGTGTTTTTCGCCGCTGCAACCCTCGAAGTCACGGTCGCAGGTAAGCACCGTGGCCGCGGGCCTCCCAAACAAACAAGTGCCCTGGCATGCCACGCACACACTCGGACCAAAAAGCACTCAGACAGCCACACTAACCAGCAAGCATGCACACACACAGACTTAGAAAACTCAGCAGAACGCTGGAATCTCAGCAAGGCATACATTCCAGCGGCAAAACTCAGAAATCAGCAGTGTGCTCAGTCTGTGTTTTGGCAGGTCATTACGCAACAAAAAAGCAGGTGAAGAACAGTGTTAACCACACCATAACGCGCAATTGATGGATTCAAAGAAACGACAAAAAAAAAAAAAAAAAAATCAGAAAAGTGGGCAGAAGGACCATAAAGCGAAATGTGTTGCCCAAGGACTCTGTGCATACAAGAAAGCAGATTCGTTAAGATCCAGGTATGGAAGAACTGCTGCGGAATTAAACCACCAGTCCCTTTCCCAGCTATTTTGTTCTGACGCAGTGGTTAACCTGCCCCGTTAAGAGGGGCTCGACCTACCGGACCAAAATGGCTCGCGACGACACGCAAGAAGAAAATTATTTTGTGCCTGCGTCGGTCCTTTTTTTTGGGGGGGGGTGAGTAGCAGCAATTCAGGTCAGGAAAAGAGGCTCGGAGGACTGGTGGTTTGACAATGGCGGGAATGGAGGCTCGGGTCAGGAAAAGTGCTTAACAATTTGACACCGACAAGGTTTTTTATTTCAGATAAAGCAGGGGGATATGAGTATGTGAGTTGCTGTAACTGTGCATTATTATTATTATATGGCCTTAAACCGTTAAAGTTTAACGTGTGATGAACGAGCACAAAAATTCGCAATGTGAATAGAGCATCTGGGTGAATGGTACACGAACACGAACGAGCGCAAAAAGTCGCAATGTAAACACATTACTTGCTAAACAGAGCGTGTGGGTGAATGGTACACAAATGTCGCTATTCGTGAACACAGCATGCGTTTGAATCCTGACGTAAAGCAGAATTTTTTTCGTTTAGGGTTTACTATCAAAGAAGAAGGAACCGGCAGAGAGGGGAGAAAAAGGAGCAATGAGGGTTGGACGCCGACTCATAATGATTCAGTTGGCAGTTCTTCATTTGCAAGAAGATGAGATGAGAGAAAATAGTAGTGTCCCCATTCATTCGTCACAAGTATAGATTTGTGATGAAAGGTTGCAAGTAGATTTGTTATGGTCGCGAGTAGATTCGTGAAGATCACATGAAGATTTTCTGACGAAGTTTGCGAACTCCGGGAGGCACAAATATTTACCGGCCGCGGAAAATCTCATGCGTTGCAAATGCTTTCATGTCGGCTAACGACTAAATTCATGTCACCTAACGAATAAATTGCTACTTGTAATAATAGATCGCAAGCTGGCATAAATCACATCCAGGTCAAGTAGATTTGTGAAGGTCGCAAGTCTGGAACGGTCGAATGGTTGCCACCTTTGCAAAGTCTTCAATGCATCGCAAAAAAAAAATGCTTCCGTCCCATGTAAAAATAAAAAAATTGGCTAAGTTCAGGGTAACTGTAAGAGATGGCAGATTGTCATAAGTCACATCATCAGATTCAAGTTCATTCAACAGAATCATGACAGAGTATTGATGTCTTTTGCAGGTATTGAAGCCGGAGCGAGCTGGCGGCGAGAGGAGAATGCTGTGGAAGAGCTTGTCAAGACAGACGGAGAGAATCGACAACCACCAGTTGGTTTATACACAATGATATTGTGCAGACTCTGGAGAGGGATTGGTAATTATGTGGTACGGGCCCCTCTGACACATTCTGTGACACAACTTTGTGGTGTAACTGGTGATCCCTTAGGGTCTTCTTCTAAGACAATTGTTATAGAGGGGTCTGCAACCATCCGGTACTTTTTGAAACAGACTGGATGGTTCTCATTTGGAGAGTTCTTTTTTCCGAACAATGGTTTTAGAGGAGCCTATCATCATGCAGTACAGACCCCTGCAACCATTTTCTGAAAAGTGTGGTGAGAGTGTTCTCTTGTTATTGTAGTGCAGTGGCATTCCCTTAGAGCAGCAGCGAATACTCAACCTAACGAATCAGTTGGACGAAATGTCAATCAATTAAGCGAAATGTCGTTGTGATGGTGCACGCTGTTGCAGGCGGCTTCTGTTTTGAAATGCAATGTTTTGCTGCTTGCATGCATCATCATTTGATTCCCCGTATGGACACAAATAAGTTGTGAGCGTGAGGGTGCAGCGTTTTTTTCTTTAAACCCGCCCTAGCTGACTTATCAAGTGTTCTTGCTTCTATTTGTGCACCAGGCATGATGTTAAAGGGTGATTGGTCTCTCGTGTGCTTGAATGCTGAGGTGTGTAGTTACTTCATCAAGTTTGTGTGTTTGTGTGTTTGTGCTATGCGCATCGCATACGCCAGGAGTGACTGTGCATCTGGTACACTGCATGTCCTCTATTGGTCAGAGCGTCAGTTCTGTGACATTCTGTGATACCTTGTCAGAGGCTTGATCCGTATCACGGAAGAGCATAGTGTTCCTCCTCCTTATCTGAACACCAGCCAGATCATGGAGGTGCATAGTTCTTCCTCCAAATCTGTGAAATGCCTGATCACAGGCCTTCCCCAACCCAATCACTGTTGTGGGGTTTGACCATGAGTGATGATGTGCAGACAGGGAGGAGGACTCGAGGAGCCATCCATGAGCTGACTGGTCCGGTAGGGCATGTGACTGGGGCAATTAGAAGCATACACTGAGATATACTGACACATCTCCCTCTTCGTGCTTCTCACTGATGGCCTTGTGCTTGGTTTCTGCAGTTCACGTACAGAGCTCACAACGCATCTCGTGTGGAGGAGTGGACAGATGATCACAGATCCGTGCGGGACTGCACTCGGGAAAGACGTTCAGTGATTAACAGGGCATTTCCTTGCACAGGTTTGAAGGAGGGACTATGCACTTCTGCCATCCGACTGGTGTGCGCATACGGAGGAGGAACTGATTATGCACTTCTCCCTCAAGTCAAGTGCGCTCCCGTGCGGGAGTGCGCCTGGGAGAGTAGGAGTAATGATTGACAATGCATTTCCTGTCGCGGAGTCGAGTCCTCCTTACGGGGCTGCATTTGGCAGAGGAGGAGTAATCGACAGTCATTTCCTTGCGGAGGATTTGAGTCATCCTTAACAGAAGTGCACTATCGACAGCAGTTAAAAGTGACGCGGTGGGTCTCTAGTCCGTGTACATACCTCTTGATCTCCCAAGATCTCAGCATCCTCCCCTCACTTTTCTCTTTGACTGCCTAGATCTCCCTAATCGATGTTACAAAATAGCCCACAACTCTTCTCCACCTTCCCTCGTGCCATATACCGGACGGCAACCTTTTTCTTTCTTTTTGTTTTCTCTAACTATCACCTCTCTCGGTACCTCCGGGATGCGAGGGACGTGAGCCAGGTACCTCAGGGATGTGAGGGACGCGAGCAAGGACACAGATCATATTCCAGGGTATCATGCACCCCATAGATCACTGGGCGAGGCGCTCAGCTGCACTCTCCTTAGCTGCTGCCGTGCGAGTTTGTGTTCCTGTTTCCCCGGCATGTATTTAACTGGAGCTTTGTGATCTTGATGTTGATGTCACATATAGGTTGACCCTGACCCTGCCTCGTTTGCGTCCTATGCATACTCTAGATATCATATCATCTGTTCGCATGCTCCATCGATGTTAGTTTATTATCCGCCAGCTATTATTAGATCACTTGTTATTAAGCTGTTACCCATTGTATCATCTGTCAGTCATTAGGGTAGGGTAAGCTCTTGGCATTCCTTGTCGCATGCCAGCGATTACATCACCTGTCGCCGCTGTCGGCCATGAGGCTAAGTTCGTGGCATTCCTTGCTCTGTACACTCAGGAGCAAGATTCATGTTGTTCCAACTGGTTAGCCCGTGCACAGTAGTTTGTTACATACAGGAAGAAATTTTCATTCCTTTCAGTCAAGTTGTCGTTGTATTAGGGAGACGACAGACAAGGTATGACTGTTTTTTTTGGGGGACATAGGCGTCATCTGAGTCCATGCGCACAGCAGATGGTGACATAGGCGTCATACGGTTTGAGAATTTTTGACTGGTCTCCTACCGTCTGCACCCGAATGGAACGCCCTGTCATTATAGCTGCATTGGGCACAACTTTCAGTCCAGATGCAGCGATAATGACCGGGCGTTATATTCGGCGGAAGACGGTAGCCTCAAAATCATGCCACCCAGCTATTATGCAAGAGCTCGCAATCGCCTAGCCCTAAAAGCACGTTGTCAAGTTCAAGCATGGTTCAGAGCGGAGACAAGAAATGAGTGGAGAAGCAGAAGGAGGGGCTGGGAGAGGAGTGCATGATGTTTTTCTCTTCGGATGGTAGGGATGAGCAGGCGAAGAATGGAAATATTTCAATCATTTGATTGGATCCCACCAGTGCTCAAGCGCAGCGTCATCGTCAGAAAAAAAGGAGGAAAACAAAAGTGCGGCGTTCGATAGAGACATGGATGGTGGAGAAGTTAATGCTTGCCAGGCAGAGGGTCTGATGGAGTGTACACATTGGGCGTGTGTTCGGGAAACCTGTCAATGACTTACAGGTGGCGCTAAGCAGCGACTGGCACGAGAGAAAGGCGCGAAGCAGTATATCTCGTAGGGGTCATATGAGGGCATATATCTGTGAGGACTTGCAGGAGTGGAGGGGCCACATGAGCAAGCAGACACGATCTTTTCCAGGCGTGGTCAATTCAGACAAACGAGAGCTAAGAGAGGAGCACCCTCATCGGTCCTTCATGACCAGCTTGAAGAGGGTTGCGGTGGCAATTTTTTTGAGGTTAGAGAAGTCGAGCTGTACGTGTGATGGAGAAACATTCCAGTTACTAATGCGTCCTATACTACTGCCCTCATAGGGAATGGGGGGTCGCATGATCGGGCTGCTGCATATCACCACCTTGTTATGGGTGCCCTCATAGGGAATGGCGGGTCGCATGATCGGGCTGCTTCATATCACCACCTTGAAATGGGTGCATGTCTGCTCTGACCGTATGTGAGTGGGAGATGCATGTCTGCCATTTCATCCTCCCCAAGCGCATTCGGTGCAACTAACAGCTCAAATGGAGGACCTCTCTCAGCAGTTAGTCATTACCAGCTATGAGAAACAACAGTGGCATACTCATAAGAAGACTTGAGGGGGCTGTCTCCAGAATGCATCACTGCTTGGTCAGCCGGTGTGCTGCCGACTGCCCGTAACCGGACATTGACAGAGTTCTGCCATTATCAAGTGGGCATTTGGCACCATTTGAAAATCTGGCACCTGGTTGGGTTGAATAAGAAGATGTGATCTTCATCCACCGGTGAGTGGAGTTGCAATGCTATTCTCCTGCCGAGAAACTACCTCAGATCTGATAAGGACTGCCCCAGGTGTGGTCTCTTCATGTAGCACCACGTGCGTAGTGGTGCCGGCCACGAACATTTCATCTTATAGCCCTGTGATCGTGCTCTATCGCTATCTATCAAGGCCAGATCCCGTCAATGCTATGTGGACATAGAAGTCATGATTATTTTAGTCGGACTGTCCTATTAGGACAGGACAACACACACTGTCTTTGTACGCGTAGTAGAGAGAGAGGGCACTGTCTTCTCGGATGCCTTGCGGGTAGATGGAAAGTTTCCTCTCCAAGGCATATATACGCATGCCATTTTTTTTACTTTCTCAGCTGCCCTGTTAACCACAGCACTGAAGACTGTGTATACTGTGAAGTATGTATCACATAAGATTGCCATGTGTCTGGTTTGTAGAGCGCAGCTGCAGGATGGTCTGTCCTTCGGGACATCTGTTGCGATTGGAACAATTCGGCGGACGTTAGTATGGCAGCACATGGTGCATGGAAGGGGATGATGGCAAGTGCAAACCGCGGCATAAATCAGGAAACAGCCCAAGTAGTCAGTATATAACACGGTCTTTTCTTAGCCATTCGGTGAGGAGTGAGAAGAGGACGTTTAGCCGCGGGACAAATCAGAAAACAGCCCAAGTAGTCAGTATAACACACTCTTCTTAGGCATTCGGCGCGGAGTGAGAAAAAAAGAGGACGTCAAACCACGGCACAAATCAGAAAACAGCCAAAGCAGTCAGTATAACACACACTTCTTGTAGTCAGTATAACACACACACTTGTTAGCATTCGATGAGGGGTGAGAAGAGCACGTTTAGCCGCGGCACAAATCAGAAAACGGCCCACGTAGTCAGTGTAACACACTCTTGTTAGGCATTCAGCGAGGAGTGAGAAGAGGACGTTTAGCGTTTGCAATCGGATAGTAACATAAGTGTTTGGGGTTAGGCAAGGTGACGTTCCTCACAAATTAGTGGGTGAGTCCGGGCAACAAAAATAAGCACAGCATCCGTGGTGAGAAATCGAGGGTTGACAGGGTTTGTGCGATTGAAGGCAATCACGGCAGTGAAGGAAAGGAGGCCAATGTTTGCTTCATGAGATCAAGAACCGGCAATGACCGAGCACCGACCAAATCCCAGCTGTTGCAAAAATGTTGCGAAGTGAACACGGGGGTCATCACGGCTGCCTGCATGCAATGGCGAACATGATGGCTGAACGGTGTTGTCTGCAGTGTGTTAGTCATTTAAACTGGTTCATGACTGTTGCTTGCTAAGCGAAGCGGACAAGGCCAGTGGCGTAAGGGATGAGGAACCATCATTTTGCAGGGAATAAGAGGACCATGGTACTCTGCTACTGGGATCCCCTCATGCGGTAGGTAGTAGATTATTTCCTTTTATCCTGTTGCGCATGAACTGTAAATAGCTTGATAGTAGAGAATTGCTAGTCGCGGATGTTCCCCAGGCCTCGGTTCCTGCTACAACTCGAGCGTTTTTCTTAGAAACAAAAGTGACTGTAAAGGGGCTCGAAGAGTGTGATAACTGTTGGAACATATTTACAGGTGTCTGATAATTCAGGTGTGCGCATCTCAGGTCATGCCTCTCTTTTCAGTCATGGAAGACGTGTGGCAACAGCCGAGGGTTTTCGCAGCTGGCCTCAAGGAACTCCTTAGGTTGTCGTGTAGACATTCAGGGACAGTTTGAAAGAGTTCTCTGGGTGCATACAAGTCAGATTGCAACAGCGGCAGAAGCATTCGTGGGCTACTGCTGCTGCTGATGTGGGAGAAGTATCCTGGTGGTAGTTAGTACAGACATCCGAGGTCTCTTCCATTCGACGAGGGGAAAAGGATCTCCAAATGATCCAGTTTCTCAGACGACGGAAGATCTCATTTGTCATGCCATTGAGCATCCCTATTAATGTCAGAGAGATCTGACAGCAAGGAAGACCAGCCGCCTAACACATACCTCGCGAGTTACATCGAGAGTCGTCCGGGTGTGGTTCGAGGACAGTGAAGAAGTGAACTCTACATGGGTTCTTGAGTGTTTGCTGCACAGGTTGTGCCAGGCCAACTTTTTGAAGGGAGGACACTTATCTATAGGGAGATCTTGACATTCGAAAGGGTGTTATGGGACTCGTTCTTGTGTGCACTTTTGGTTTACCATTTGTTCAATTTTTTTGGTGCTATATTCTTTAAGTGGGAGAGTGTAAGAAAGTCCTGTTGCAAAGAATGGGTCTCTGTTGAGTCTCATATGAGTGTGCTGTGGATGAGGGCCTTCAACAGGTTCTTCCTGAAAATGGAAGCGTTAATTATTTCCCTCTTTTTCAGGAAAATTGCCAAAGTTAATGTGCAGGCAGACGCTTGCTGAAAAGTTTGCACCTTGAGGTTAACCCTAAAACTTGGTGTTGGCACCTTGAGACAAGTTCCATGCAAGGAAGAAAGGGATGACTCTGTATGTCTGGAATCTGCATGTCTTTATCTCAGTGGGTGTTGAGGCGAGGCTGTTTTCCAGTTTCACTGGAAGCGACATTGCACTGTCAATGTACAGAAGGGATCACAAGGACAAACACATCTGCATCGAGAACTACATGCGTGCCTCTCTCTCTCTCTCTCTCTCTCTCTCTCTCTCTCTCTCTCTCTCTCTCTCTCTCTCTCTCTCTCTCTCTCTCCCCGTA